AAGTTAAAAAAGAACGACCACCAACACGTATGAAAATAAAACACTTATATATAAATTTTTATCGATTTGTTTTAAAAATTATTTATTTTCTAGCTGAATTAGAAATAACTGAAAAACCAATTGATATTAATGATTTTGAAGAAGTTATTGATTCAAAAACAGGTATGAAAGTACTTAAATTAAAAGTTGATGTAGCTAAACGAGCTGGTATGATGGAACTACTTGATGCTCAATTTGAAACTTATATCGATGAAAAAACTGGTAAACAAGCTATTCGAGTTAAACAAATTGATGGTAGCAATGGACCAGATGGTAAAGATTAAATATTTAATAAAAATTCATATTATGTTTATTTGTTTTTTCTCTTTGTTTTTTGTCGTTAGATATTAAATTTGAAATAGTAACTGATGCATCAGGTAAACAAGTACTTCGAATGGTTCAAGAAATTCCAAAAACAAGTAAATAGATTTTTAAAAAAGTTTTAATTTGAAAATTGATTTTCATCTTGATAATATTTAGTTGAAGTAACTAATGTTGATGTAAATGTTAATGATTTTGAAGAAGTTATTGATGTTAAAACTGGAAAAAAAGTTTTACGTATGAAAAAAGAAATTGCAAAACGAAAAGGTTTTGTTGATATGGATAATGTTGATTTTGAATTTGTAATTGATGAAAAAACTGGACAACAAATTATACAAATAAAAGGTGGCACAGGAAAAATAACAAAAGGTAATACAATATTTGAAATGGTTATTGATCCTAAAACTGGTCAACAAACATTACGTATGAAACAAGAAGTTGAAGTTAAATGTAAGTAAACTACATAGATTTGTTTATTGTTAATAAATTTCTTTTCTTTTTCTTTTTTTAGATGAAACAATTGAAAATGATTTAGTTCACGAAGATTTTGAGGAATTTATTGATGAAATAACTGGTGAACGTATTCTTAAATTAACAGCTGAAGCAGCAGCAAGAAAAGGTCTTAATGATTTACGTGATATTGAATTTGAAATTTATAAAGATCCAACAACTGGTCAAGAACAAATACGAATGAAAGGTGGTAATCAAACAGGAAAATTAGATGGTGATCAAAAATTTGAAGTTTATATTGATAAAAAAACTGGCCTACCAAAAGTAGTTCTTAAACGACCAAAAGGACGAACACGTAGAATTCTTCATCTTGTTTTCTTTTTTAAAATAGTTTTAATTCATTTAATTTTATTCTGTAGCACCACCTGTAGAGGCATCAATTGATGTAAATGATTTTGAAAAAGTTATTGATCCTATAACTGGAAAAGAATTTTATCGTCTTACTAATGAAGCAGTTCGTCGAAAAGGATTAACCAATGTTAAAGATATGGAATTTGATATGGAAATTGATGAAACAACTGGAAAAGCAGTTATGAAACCTAAAGTTAGCGTTATAGGCGGACAAAAAGTTGAAATTATTATTGATCCACAAACTGGTGAACAATCAATTCGTATTATACCACAAAAAACTATAGAACGAAGTAACAAAATTATTAATACCAAACAAAAAAAAAACATTTTTTTTAAAATTTTATTTTTATTTAAGTGGCAACAATAACAACATCAATTGATTTAGATAAAGATGCATTTACAATTCATATTGATCCAACAACAGGAAAAGAAGTTATTAGTTTAAGTAAAGATTTAATTGAAAATTATGGATTAGAAAATATTGAATTTGAACAAGTTATTGATGAAACAACTGGACAAACAATTTATCGAATGAAACCTGCTATTGGAAAAGATGGAAAAATTTATGAATTAATCACTGATCCAACAACTGGAAGTAAGATAATATTGAAAGACAATAGAAATTTTTTTTAATAGAGACCTAATTACGATTATTATTATTATTGAGAGTTTTCAAGAGTCTCTATTTAACCATTCATATCGTCAAAAATATTTACACATATGGTCGATTAATTGTAATCCTAAACAAACAAAAAAAACCATTGATAAGCCGAGATCTATAACTTATAAGAACATCGAGATTATTTGAAGTTCATCTCATTAATCTTCATTAAAGACTTTTATTTCTATGAATAAGCGATACACTTCGTAGTGCTCAGCAAGACAACGCTGCGCATTAGTGTTCTGCACAGATATAACTTTTCACACAAATGAAGCTAATCGACATCCGACAGATATTTTTATAGTCACAGTATGATTTTGGAAAAAGTTTATTTGATATAAAAAAGTGTACTGTATAAACTCTACCATAAACAGCAACAGAAAAAAAACAGATCACTTGAAATCTTTCTTCTTCTAAAATCGGATGAATTTCACTAAGTATTCATTTGTTTGTTGCTTATGACGCTGGAATGAAATGCAGTATTGGTGTAAAAATTCATTATATATTCAATTACTTCGTCACATATGGTGTATCATCATCTGTAGATGAATTTTCATTAAAAAAACAAATTATTTTAGTAAAATAATATCGCTTTCAGCTTCTGTGACCTGTTCTTAAACACAATAAGTCGTTCAGGTTTTCACTCTTATACTTTTATATAAATGAACAATTTGAAAAAGTAAAAATATTGTGCAACATCAAGATCTCATTAATTGCACGGTCGGATATGCATATGAGATCATATCTGAGATCTGAACCGACCCGGTAAGATTGCACTCAGACCCATGCTCTGGGCCGGACCGAGTGCTAGGTGTCCAACCAAGTTTCAGAACACTATTGAACGTACGTACTAGTCACATAAATATGCTCTTTATAAGAATTAATGAAATAAACTTCGGCCCAAGTCGAAATTCTGACCTTACAGATCTTTTATTGAAAATAATTTTGAAAAAAAAAAGTTCATTGTCAAGAGACTTTAGTTACATTAATGATATTTATTTATTTATGTATTTTATAGAACAATCATTACAAGTCAAAGAAACAGTAACACAAGAACAATTAACAAATCTTATTCAAAGTATGAAAAAACAATTTTTTTTTCTTTTATTAGAATAACATATTTTATGTTTAGGTCGAGAAGCTAAAGGACTTCGAATTCCAAGAGCAACCAGTGGACATACTAAAATATCTGGTATGATATTGAACAATTATGTTTATAAAAGACTTATAATCATTATCTAATGTATTTCAATTTAAAGATATCAATAGAAATAGATCTAAAATTTTATCAAAATCTATTTCAAAATAGAATAATTAAATTCAATTTTGTAGATGTCTCGCATGAACTAATTAAAAAAATATATAATTGAAATTTTATTCATTCAAATCAACCATAGTCGTTTTTTTTTTTATTTTTGTTTAGGTGCAAATAATGAAGAAAGTTTCTTACCTTCTGGAATTTCAACACGAACAAAGAAAAAACCAGTAAGAAAAAAAATGCATTAGAAATTTATCTTAAATTATATTACATTTAACTAGGGTATTGCATTATCTCCTGATGACAATATGACATCACCAACCGATGGTTTAACTGATGAAAATAGACGTCAATCACAAATTCCATCAAAATCACGACCAATCAGAGTAAAAAGTCCTTCCGGACAAGACTATGATATTGAATGGACATCTGATGATGTATAAGAAAATCTTTTTTTGCTGTTTTCGAAAATTCATATGTGTATGTATATAGGAAAAAGAATTAGATGGTTTAAGTGTTTATGAACAACGAAGACGAAAAGAACAAATACTAGCTGAGAAAAAACGTAAAGTAGCTGAAATGAAACGACAACAAGAACTAGCAATTCAAAATCGATTAAAAAAACAACGTGAAAGTTTAGTTGATATTATTGATCATTCAAGTGGACTTTTAAATCCTGAAGAACAAGATCGGTAAGATAAAATAAATATTGTTTATTATTTCATTTCTTTTATTCATAAAAAAAAAAACTTAAAATAAAATAAAATCTTTCATTTTTGTTCTTTTCAAGTGTTGCACAATGGTAAGTCAAAAGTAAACTTTGTAAAAAAATTTTTTCTAATCCTAACTTATTTGATTAACTACTAATAATTATGAATTGAATTCTTTAATATTCATAATAAACAAAAAAAACAAAAACAAAACCTTTTTCTAGGGAACGTGATTTACGTAAATTAGATAGTGAACGTGGTGGTCTAACTGATGAAGAATATCAAGAACGTCGAAAAAAATTATTTGCTGAACGTACTCGTGTACTTAAAGCAGCATATGATAGAAAAATGGATCGACTTAAACGACAAACAGGTATTCCAGATGGTGGTTATGTCGATGGAGAACAAGCAGCTGGTATGTATGAAATATTTTCTAGAATTCAATTTCAAGTTTTTATTTGTTTTTTTTTAAATAGAATTAGAAGCACAAATTCGTGCTGAAGAAGATTTATTATTAAGTATGATGAATCCAGAAGAACGTGAAGATTATATTCGAGCACGAAATGAAGAACGTGCTCGACAACGTTTATTAGCTGAACGTGAACGTATGAAACGTGAAGAAGAATTACAAACAGCATTAGCTGAAACAAAACGTATGGCAGCTATACGTGCAGCTGAAATTATGGCTAAAGAATTACAAAAACGATCAAATAATTCAATGTATGCTGAATTAAAAGATTTAGTAACTGAACAAAAAGTATCACGTGCTTTTACATATTCATATTTTTCACTTTTACAATTTCTTACTTCATCTGTTTCTAATCCAGCTGATTAAAAAAAAAATATATAAATATTTATTTATTTATTTACAGATACTTTTTTTTGTTTTTCTTTAACGTGTTGTCTTAACAATTAAATGTGGATATGTTGCACAACATGTAAGTGCAATAAGAAAAAGAATTACTGCTAGAAACATAATATAAACAAAAGCAATATGTACAAGTGTAAATATATATACATTTCTATGACAATAATTATTTGGATTCTCTAATCCAAATTCAAACTTTGGCATAAAAATATGCCAAGTCCAAAATTGTCCAACAATAAACCAAGCAAGAAGAAATAAATTTAAAACAGCATCTGTAAAACCAGAACCATCTTAAAAAAGAAATTTTTGGTTTTTTTAAAGAATAATTTATAAAAACAAAAATACAAACTATTTTCAGTTTCTTCTTCTTGATCAAGTTCAATTCCTTCTAATTTTCGCATACGTCTTCGTCGAAATTGTTTCCATAATAAATTTAATACACGTACAAGACCCATTGCACCAACAACAAGTAAATAAACGGGTAAATTTGGTTGAATTGGACAATCATTTAAATATTTAACACCTAAAATTAGAAAGAATTTGTCTTGAACAAAATTAAACAATAATAAATTTTTACCCATAAAAAAAAGTATTATTTGAAAAACGGTTAACAATGCCAATAGAACCGTAACTCCGTCTAAACAAAATAAAAAAAAAACATTATAATTATAACAAGTAATACTTAACACAATAATTTCATTCGTAAAAAAATCTTTTCTTCGATTCGAAATATTTCTTTATATATTAAGGCCTAGCGCCTTGTAAGAAATCTATTTTTGTTTTCGAACAACCGAACTGATTGAAAATTTCAGAGAATATGTGTGCAAGTCTTAACAGTTCACAATAGAAATTTTGGCTAAAAATATTGAGCTGTTTATGAGCTATCATAACATCAAGAGTCAAAAAGTAGGCCACAACGTGACAAGAATTATGCATCCAAATGTAATGATGCAGATTTCAAGTTGAATTTTAAATGTAGTGAAGATCTGCCGCTACAATTTAACGAAGCCCAATATTTCAAAATATTGTTTTTTTACTTCTGATGAAATTTTTTCTAAAACAAAATTCGAAAAAATCAGAGTATCTCTACGGAAAAACATTTGGTTTTCTTCTCAAAAAAACAAATAAGCCGAAAATAATGAAAATTCTGACTCTGATAAATTGTAGAGTGCAATTTTCTCTTCAATTGAAAACTTTATTGAGCTTGCTAGAATGTAAAACAGTCGAGAAATCTGTGACATAAGAACAGAAAAACGCGAAGCACTGGTTAGCCTAGAAATTCAAGCTTCTTTCTTAATAGAATAATATGGAAAATAAACCATGAAAAAGCATAATAAATTCAAGAAATTGTATTTTTGTTAGAATGGAAGTAGACATTGATGATTATTCAACGACGTCAAAATCTGAAAAACAGAACTTTTTAAAGAAAATCTCCATTTCTGACATAAGAGTGGGCCATAATTTATCGATATGAAAGTCATGCGAAAAATTCCGAGATTGATTGTATTTAAAAACAACAAAAAGTGATATTGTTTTGGAATTATTGTCTATTTATAGTTCACACAGTTTGCTATCTATTGACATTATGAACTTCAATTGATTAAACATTTATATACTATCATAACAATTTTCTTTTAAGTTCTACTTAGATACACTGACGCAAAATGATCGAAGATCGTCGAATCACAATTTAGTAAATGGCAGACACTCTAGGCATTTCATCTGACTCTGTGCGTGACAAACATGTTCAAGCATGTCAAGAACTTTTGGTTCGCTCTTCTACTAAAAGAAACGACTTTCTTTTTCGAAATATAACCGATGATGAATCGTGAATTCATTATTATAAACCTAAATCAAAACAATCATTACGGTAGTGAAAACGAGCTAATTCACAACCACCGGGAAAATTGAGAGAAGAAAAATCTGCTGACAAAATTTTATATTCATTTTTGTTGAATTATCAGAGAGTAATTCTCAAATAGCTCGTAACATTGGTTATGACAATTATCAAAGTATATTGCGCACATCTTTTGATAAAAGAACTTCATTTAGAAATTAGAAATCAACAGTAAAATTCAATTCCGACTTTTGTCATTTTGCAACATGAAAATGTTTCATCAAATGCATTCCATCTCGTTTCTTCTATTAGTCATGATTTAAAATATGAATTGTTTTGTCATTCACCTTATTCTCCAGATCTGACTTCCAGTAATTATTTTCTGTTTTCACTTTAAAAGAATCAATTTAGAAAAAAACACTATAATTATCGAAGTTCATTAATTTGATTTTTACATCACTGTCTGAACCATATATCTGCAAATGACTTCATAGCAACTATACAAAAGTTTGCAGAGTGTTGACAGAAATGTATTGCAGCGAAGAAATGATACTTCGAAAAAAAGAAAAAATACATTTACAATTATAAGGCACTTAAGTGTTTTTTTTTTCAATAAAATCAGCCTGGGAGCTTTTTGAATGTCCTATGTATTCTTTCTCATCTTTCTATAATTTACCCCGAAGGGTTTTCTGACGAAAGTAATTTATATATATCAAACTTTCAAGTTGATAAAAACTTCCATCACTTGAATTGTTAAAAATAGATCTGAGAAATAAATACTTGACCAAAATATATCAAGAACTGTTTAACCTATATTGATGTGCATTTTCTGATGAGATTTTTTCTTCTCAGCGCAAAAATCTAACAATATTTTTGTTAAAGAATAGAACTTTATGTTTTTTCAAAATTTATCATTTATATTTCAGGAAATGTAAACTAACTATACTAATAAATAAACGGAAATTAGATTTTAACAAAAGTTTCTTCTTATTAAAAATGTAATGAGAAATTTTTTATTTGAACTCAATAATCAGAATATAAAACTGATGGAGAAAATTTTTCAAACTTTTTTTTTTTCTTAAATTACTATCTTTGATATTTTCATACAATTTAGAAGAGGAAATTACAAATTTTCCATCAATAAAAAAATCTCGAAGTCATGTTTTTTTCTATATACATTTGTTCTATTAAATCTTTATAATAAATTTTCACAATATATCCGCCTTATATTTGTCACTTACATTGTTTCTTTTTTTTTCATATCTAGGCATATCTAACAGGAAATTCGAATCCACGGAAAACATTCAAAATAAAATTTTCTATTAATAAATAGTTCATTTTATTTCTCAGGAAATTTTATTATCTATACATTACATGTATTTGTAACGATGGAAAATGATTTCTTCACAAATTCGACTAATGTTTCAGAATCTTGTATAGCTTCACCTAAATAATATAAAACATGAAAATCAACGAAAAACAAATAAATTAATTTTTTTTTCTAGTTTTCGTCATTCTTACCAAGTCGACTAATAACAGAAACATATGGATCACTATCTTTAACATCTTCAACCCAGTCACTCGATGATAATAAAAAACGTTGATCTTCTTGTGATAACTATAAAAAAAAAAATAAAACAAACAAAAGATAAGAATTCTAATTTTATATTGGAATTATTGATTTTAAAGATAATGATAACATGTATGAAACCTAATTTAGGATATATTTCGATGAATATAACTTACAATTTTTTTAACTTTATCCATATCACGTTGTTTTAAAAACTCAGCGTAACTACTACTAACACTACTAAAACGAGCAAAACGTTGTCCACAATCTAGATTTGTTGATAATGATTGAGGAATAGTTGTTGTTAATTTATTTTTTGTTAATATTACTGTTGATGGTAATGATGGTGTATGATCAAGATTAAATGATGAATACTGTGATGTTTGTTCTGGAATATTCAAATGAATTCGAACAGATGCTGTCGATTTCATACTATAGAATGTTATAGAATAATAATTGACTTAATAATGGTCGATGATTTCTAGTACATTATTTTATTTTCAATATACCATTGATAGACAATTTTTTTATCTTGTCATTATTATTAATTATTATATCTCAATGTATTTACTAACAAAAAGCTAAGAAGAATCTTTTCTTCTTCTGTTTTTCTCGCTCTCCTTTTTTTTCTGCTACACTTATTTTTGTAGTGCATCATTGTATGTTGTTAAGAAAGATGTAGTATGAGCAGCTGTTAGTTCAAAAATAGATAGAATATTATAAAAAGAAAAATAAGAGACGAGGAGAAAAAGGCGGAAATAATGTACGCTAGTTCGACTTTTGCAGTTAGTGTGACACATATATATATATATATATATATGAAAGTATACGTGTAGTGCTTGTCAGAACAAGTTAAAACTGAACACGACATATATTCGCACAAAAAGATGAATCCATTCACGCACAATAAAGTCAATCTTCTTTTTGATATGGGCCCAATGTTGATTTCATATGAGTTTCTTTTCATAAGTGTAACAAAAAGAAAAAGAAAAAGAAACCTTCATTACATCTTTTTTATCATTTCAATAAAGACAAAAATAAAATATTAAGATTTTCCTGCTTTATGGTTTTAACATTATAGTGAAACTTAGAAAATGATAACAAATAAAAAATAATAATACGAATATACAAAGGAATAATTAGAGAAAAAAAATGTATTAGGGAAGAAAGAATAACCATTGAACATAAAACTAGAAACTTTCAGATTATTATTCTGTCAACATATTTGAATCGATAAAATTCAAGTTTGATTGATTTCATTACAAATAAACCTAAATACTAAACATAATCTAAATAAACTTACGCGAACAAAAATAAAGAATTTGTGATTGTTTCCGTTTAATTATTAATTTTTTTTGTGACGCATTCTTCTTTTCTTATAATTTGAATAACTATTGTTCGTAAGTACGCTCGGTACAAAGACATAAAAATAGAGATTACTGAAGCTTTTCATATGAATAAAGAAAAGACTAATCATTTTTTAGATGTTCAGATATATTAAATAGAGAATCTTATCAAAAAGAAATATACATTGTTTTCATGTCTAAGACTATTAAAATAATCCTATAAATCAATAAAAATTATGATTTTTATTACCAGATTTGTTCGATGTTTATTATTAGTACTTGTTGTACTAAAATTAACCATAAACACTGTTGCTAATCCATCTTCCGTATTTTGTGTTAATAATCGTTGTCCTATGACATTATTAGTTGTATTGGAATAATTTGATTGATGTTTTGAATTTGATGTACTTTTATCTTTAGATGTTAATCGTTTTTTTCGATAACCACTACTATGACGTCTTGATGTTTTTCGTTCACTTAAAAATGCTGTAGCAATATTAGCTAATGAAACATGTCGAAATGTTGTTGTTGGGGGTGAATC